GGTCTAGGAGGGTGTTTGGGACAGTAATTCTATTCATTTATTGCTGGTCCAAAAAATTTGGCAAAAATCAAATTATGTTCAGAGGAATTATCTATTAGCCACACGACCGCTGTTTACTGGAAGAACTTTCTTCGCGAAGTTTGCGCCTGGCGGCAGTTTTTGCAGACTCCGACAGCTATCGGCGGCCCAGGTCTTCACTTCGAGATCGATGAAACGCTAATATCTCACCGTAAAAACCACGCAGTGGCAGGGGTTAATTTTTTGGCGGGGCTTATCTGGGAAAGATCCCCACAATGAATAAACGTGCCCGGAAACACAACCACCTACAAATGGGGGGACCAAAGTCGATCGTCCCACTCTGACGGCCAGATTGCCGGGGTGAGTCGCACTTAGAAAGTGTTCTACCTGATGCGTCACGCCACTCCGGTGCAAGCAAGTGCAGATGGCAAAGTCCACCCGACTACCAGCGACAACTGTCAAACCGGAAAGATCCTACAAGCATGTGAATTTGAAGAACCGCAAAGACCAGTTCTGTTTTCCTGTTACTTAGCTTGCATTCGGCAATGCTGTGCATCTTGGTATTCAACACGCTCGTGACTTATACGCAATCCAATTGACCACTTCTGATGGCCTTAGTTGTTGTCTGCGTGGGTTGGTGAGTGGTGGGCCGCGCATCAGCCTACTGCGCGGCGGAAACAGTGCTGTACGAATACGTCCGATTTCATCAGCAGCCGGAGAAAGGTCAACAAGGTACACATGCAATTCACGCCCACGCGATGGCCAAGGCAACATGCGCACTTCGTACACAAGCCATCAGACGGTCACCCATGACTAATCGAACCGACGTGCAAGAGACACAATGGTTGGTTGAGAGCAGATCGACCATCAAATACGATCAAAAGTGAATACAACTCTATTTGGATTGATAGCTTTTTTCTGGCCGCTGTCTTGTTTTCTGACTGCAACTCGGTAGCATCAGGGGAGGTAAAGCGATAAAAACAGCGGGGAAAGCCAAGGTTAGGAGCGAAGATTTTTTTGTAATTAAACGTCCTGATCACCCGTCATCCAAAATAAGTTGATCGGATTCACAAATGACAATGAGGGTAACCTTGATTATTTTGATTCTGATCAAAACGTTCAGTTATAGAAAACTCTGCCCTGAGCATTCTTAATAATAACGGCAATTAACAATTAAAAGTCAATAACCAATTAACGAACTAATAATTGATGATAATTAATTAGTTAATTAACAACCAATTCAAAAGGTAAAACATGTAGACAGTGTGACGTCCTTTTGGATTTAGTTATTAGATAGTTACAACTAACAAATCAAAAGGATGTCACGCACAATCCGTTTGTTTTAAGCACCCGGAATGTCAAATATTGTATCCTAAAAGGTTACAGATCCCTAAATATAGTCAAACTATGCCTAACCCGAGTGGACTCTGAGGTCCTATGGAGACCGTACCATAAAATGTCGCAGTTCCGCATATACGTAGTAGACGTAGTGGACCGACTGACTTGACTTACCATACCTCAAATTCGCATCGTTTACAGATCCACGCAGGCTTGTAAAATGAACTAACTCAGGCAGATGCTTTTCAGCTGTGGTCGTGCTAACCCAGTATAGGGGGTTAGAGTGCGCATTTACTGACCGGAAGGTCCGTGGTTCGAACCCGACCTGTCTTTCGACTTATCCTGTCTAGGCTTGGGCAACCCAGCCCTCGTGCCTTCCTATGGTGGCATGGCAGTTAAGCACTGGAAGAAAGTTACAGATGGACGAATTTTTCTAACCGAGTAGGCGGCAGATTTGCGTGTACAGCTTACTACCTACCATCACACAAGTAAAAAAAAGATCATATTTATAAGAATCCAAGGCTTGACAAAAAAGGTGAGGACGGATCATCGAAATCGAATACCATGCTGCACACAGAGCATACTGTTGGTAGTATGAGGAGAATGGGAAATTTTCGGTGGATAATTCGTTCTAAGTGAAGCCAATCTATGCTGAAAAGGATGAAGGATGAGCGGTACTATATCCTGTCCAAGTGCGACATTGCTGATCAGCCGCTCGTGGCCGAACGGTTAAGTGTTCTACTCACACTGCGAACAATCTATAAGTAGCTCAGTGGAAGAATCAACTTCATCCGCTGAGTGAAACTTCCATCTGAGAAGTGGTTGCTCGAGGAACCAGTCAACACGTGGGACCGCGTGATGTAGATCCCATGATTGAAGGATGAGCGACGCTATATCCTGTCCATGTGCGAGTTAATCACACCGCTGATCAGCCGCCCGTGGCCGAACGGTTAAGTGTTCAAACTACTAGCCAGGAGGTCGCGGGTTCGAGACTCTTTGGAGTTTCACACTATTGATGATGATTCCCAAATAAGGATGAAACAGCTGTACAGTGTTTCTCGGCTATTCAGCATAGATTAACTTCACTTACAGGACGAATTCTCCACTGTAGAGCATACCACTCTGCACCCATTTGTAGTATGAGGATGGCGTAATTCGGACCCTAATTAGCTACGCTGGTGCGTGTGTGTAGTCCGTCCACAAAATATTCTATGCCTTGCTCTTTGTTGCCTTACTGGGCAGCCACAATCTATCCGCAGTGATTACGACTGATTCTAGAACTGCCTGCGGTCTTGCTCTCCACAGTTTAAATGGGCCAAAGTAAACCAATGCTGGTCTGCACACTCCCTCATTACCCTTTGTGGACTCAACTGACCTCATACGAAAGGTATTAGGAGAACCAGCTCCGAACGTAACGGGACTGCATAACAGCCAATGGAATAACCGTTTTTCGTTGAGACGAATTTCTTTGGTTGTTCTTCACTCGTCCTTGACAGATGAGTTTTAGTCTTAGTATCTTTTTTGTTGATCCGCTTGTACGCGACAGTGATCTATAGAGCAGCTGGCTCGCGCGTTAATTGACTTTCCTAGTTTGGCCAAGCGCACCAGGCTATCAATCGGCTATCCAGACCGGAGTTCACGGTAATAAGAAAGCATTAAGGGGACAAAAGGTAAACCGCGAAACAGGCATTAGCACCTTAGTGCCTTGTTCAGTTCTAGAAAATCATTATGACTTATGAGTAGAACTCACTAAGCTGACAGCTTGACCAGTTTCCGGAGAACCAGCTTCCGGAACACGTGACATATCCCAACCAAGGCCACTCAGAGTTATGTAATTCGGTGGGTTGACTATGCTAGATGGCTTACAGATAGACTTTAAAAACGGGTGATGTTCGGACATGGAAACCAAGCGGAAGGGTTGGTGTAGATATCGCAACACTTCGCCTAGGTGTGATGAACAGTGGGTGCAACCTCTGAGTTGCTGGTTGCCCATGAACTAATCACTACGGAAATTCTCGAATCAGGCATCTGGCCGAACAACCGAACTTGGCGCGCGCGGTCATAAACGATCAACATTAGTGACAGGTAAATGTGATGTAGCCGATACGAAGGGGGCGCACCAACGACTGACAAAGTAGCTCACTTAGTGTCACTGCATTTCGGTTGACAACCTGAGGTGATTAAGTCTGGTAAGGACCTATCAAACGCA